ATGAGAGACTACGGACTCTGAGAAACAAACTGAGGGTTCTAGAGGGGAGGGGGGTGGGGGATGGGTTAGCCTGGTGATGGGTATTAAAGAGGGCACGTATTGAATGGAGCACTGGGTGTTAGATGCAAACAATGAATCATGGAACATTACATCAAAAACGATGTAATATATGGTGATTAACATAACATAATAAAATTAAATTAAAAAAATAAAATCTTCATGAAAGTGTAGAAGACACAAAAAACAAAAAAAATAAAAAATTCACTGGGGCACCTGGGTGGCTCAGTCAGTTAAGTGTCTGCCTTTGGCTCAGGTCATGATCTCAGGGTCCTGAGATCAAGCCCTGCATCAGGCTCCTTGCTCAGTAGCGAGTCTATTTCTCCCTCTGCTCCTCCCACCCACCCCCATCCCCACAAAAGTCACAGCAGGCAGATCATTAAATTTCCCTTTCAAAGTCTTCCAGTGGATTTCTGTCACCCACATAATAAAACCAGAAATCCTTCCCATGAGCTTCAAGTTCCCACAAGATCTGACACTTGCTATCTCTGTGACTTTTTCTCCTTTCATGAGCTCTTGCTCTCTGCCCACTCTAGTCATACTAACCTTCTTGCTGTCCTTCAACAAGCCAAGCTCCTTTCTTTTGGGAGCCTTTGCATTTGCTCTTCCTTTAACCGGGATGGCTCTGTCCCATTTACCCTTTAAGTAGTCAGCCTTGCCTGGAGACATGACCCTGTGACCTTCAAAAGGGAAATCTGTACCAAGTAGGCTACTTTTGATGTTTCCTTAGGGAAAAACAAGTTGTAAAAAGCAAAGAAACCCTTTCGAATATGGGCTCACCTGATTATGGAGCTACTGATTTGCTTATGGAGCTACTGATTTGCTTACAATGCTATCAGCAATAGGATCTCAAAGGTTTCCTGCAATGGACTCTTCTTTTACCTAAGCTCTTAGAAAACAACCACCACCACCACAAATTGACAAGCTTATATTACTGGGGGGGGGGGGGGGTAGACGGAGGGGGAAGAATGGCTTTAAGGAAAGGTGAACATACAGTTTAAAGCTTATCATTTTTTAAGTTTGTACCTTACAGTTCAAGTTGCTCTTAATTCCCTAACTGGTCCTACGTGCAGTTGAACTGTTCTTCAAAGTCACTATCATCACTTGATCCCTCAATCTCACCATAAACCATTTCTTTTGTCTGAATCTGGGTATATCTCAGTCTGAAGATGTCCACTTTTTATCACCCTCTTGTTGTAGTCTAAAGTGCTTTCATCTTCCAATGATATTTAAAATATAGACCATCCTTTGTTAAATATAAAAATGTACAAGTGACTCAATGCCTAATCCCCAGCATCAGTACTGACATGACTTGTACTAGGATAGCAGCAGTGAGGATAGAGGAACACAGATTTGAGAGACATGTAGGAAATAGAACTGTACAAAACTGAGAATTAATGGTAAAAAGTAAGAGAAAATGAGAAGTTGATGATGACCAGGTTTCTTGGTAAGACTACTGCAAACACAGTGGTGTCACTATCCATCAAGACAGAGAAGAGAAAAAAAGGTTTGAGGAATGGGGGGATATTAGTTTGGCACTTACTGAATTTGAAGTGCCTGCAAGAGATACACTTCAGGCAGTAGGGTGTATGGGTTTAAAAATGCAGGCTGTGTTATTAAATGAGTGAATGACCTTGCATTAATGTCTTAACCTCCTTAGGCCTGTTTCTAAATTTGTAAAGTAAGGGTGCTGTGTGAATCTCTAAAGAGAGATTAGTATAGTCCCAGTCCTAAAATTTCAGTGACCTCAACTTTATCAGCAATCTTAATCTGGCTTGGATCCTTATTTCCTTCTTAGAATTTTGCAGTATCATGCTATCTGTGTGCATTTCACTTTGAAAATTTAACAAGAACTTTAATAAGAACTGTTAACTAGCTAGGGATTCACAAATTCATACAACTTGTCTTCTCTTAAGTGATAGTCAAACACTTGTTTCCCTTACTGATGAAAAACACACATTTAAGCTTGCTGGTCATTCCTGGGAATAATACAAGCACTTTAAAAAGAATTATAATATACTGCTGAAATTTCTTCTCCGTGTATTTTTCCCCTCCATGAATTTGGAGAGGTTGGAGACATTCCTGTAACAGGGAAAAAGAGGGAGGAAAATACGGAGGCAAAAGGGGCTTATGTTGGACAAGTAATATCCATAAGATCTTCTATATCACAATACATTCTAAAGAGAAAAAAATCATTTAAATTAGTATCTTGCAATCTGAATGCAAAATTAAGAATTAATAGAAATGAAAATGAAACAGGTCTCCTTAAGTTTTATCATCCAGAATGATCTTATTGCAATATTAGGAATTCTGGAGTTCTTCCTGTCCTTTTCAAATTGCACACAACCTCTTGGTTACTGTAAATTATTTCTAGGTTAAAATTAAGTTTGAGGGAAGGGGGACACTAACCTCATCCTGACATGTGTGTAAGGAGCCCTGACACTAAATGCAACTTGGGTTCAAAGACAGGCTTTGTGGAATAGCTGACATACAAATGGCTCACTGTTTGAAAAAAAGAGTCCAAAATCCAGGAGAAGACTCATTTGAGAATATTGTTTTATACTGCCTCAACAGGAAGTATCACTTGCTTTGGTGAAAAAGAATCCCTCAAAATCCTTAGGGAAATGCCATCCAATTGAGCAAAATGAACAATACCACACACTGGACATGTAGGTCTTCAATACTTTATATTAGACCAGCACAAACTGATAAATCTTGATGATATGTTGAAGTAGTACCACAGTCTTATTCTCCCAACTTTAAGGAACCCCACATGCCATAATGCAGATAGCGCACCACAACTTAGTGAGATAGATGAATAGGGGAACCAGAATTGAAACAAAAAGGAGTGGGAATTAAGAAGTTATTCCCTTATAAAATTTTCCAGCTTAAATAAAATTTCATTTTAACAGAATAATAAAGTTATTCTGTTAAGGACATATGTAACCCGTGTAACAAAATACAACATTGTATTGTAACTAAAAGCATAGATTTTGAAGTAAGGCAATTTGGTTCAAATCCTGGTGCCCCCTAATGTGATCTTCGGAATATTTTTTAACCTCTTGAAGCCTAAATCTCCTCTTTGGTAAAAAAAAAAAAAAAAGGAAGATTAATACTTCATTATGGGATTGAGAACTAAAAAGTGATCATTTAAAATATATTACATAACAAAAATAAAACCTGATAGACAAAAGAAAACACCATTTCAACTATGATTTTGTTAGACTTTTATTATGAATATATTTTTTGAGCCATCATTTCAAAGGATCTCTATAAAACTGCAAATCTTAAAGCAGTTAATTTTAAAGGAGTCAACTCCAGTTTTATTAATACCAATGTTTTTTTTCTTTCAGGACCACTGTAAGCATGACACTATACTGATGGCCAAGCAGAAACCCTAGTTTGAATTCTCTGATGTAAAAATCATTCTACTTACTTGTGGATATTAACTTGATTGTGAAGAATATAAAGTAAATTTCTGAAAACCTGTAAATAAGCACATGAGACTACATTTCATAATTCATGGTGAACAGTTAATTCTTGATTCTTCAAGTAAATATAACTAATACAGTAATCCAAAAGTTACTCTGGTGTTGAAATAAGCTATGATTTTTGAGTATTGTCCTATTAATTTTTCATCTAGAATATTAGTTATTTTTGTTTATATTACAAATGAAACTCTGAAACTGAGGAGGACACACAAAAAATCAGTAGTAGTCTTGGGTTAAGAATTTTTCAATATCATTCAAGGATTACCATTTAATCCAGATTTAGCATATCATGTTCCCAAACCAATAAATATAACATGTTTATATTTATTGTATTTACCTATTTATAGGTAACAACCATTAAAAAAATCTGGATACAATCAAAGGTGAATAAGTGTCAATAAGATGGACTATATACATGAACTTTCAGTTAAAAACGTACCTTAAAAAATGACCAAAAAAAAGTCCATTTCTACTGCTTTCTCCTTGAGTAATTACTATATCTTATGTGACAGTTTGTTATCCTCTAGAAGAGTAAGAAAAAGTCCTTTTGTATTTCATGATAGGTTTAATCAGGTAATTAAAACAAATTCTTATATCATCTGATATGTCCAATTACATGGGTATGATGTAACAAAAACAGTTACAAACTTATATATGCATATTTACATTATATATCCAAACTATCAAGCTAATCAACTATATCTAAGGAGATACATTATGACATGAGTTAAACAATTTTTCATTGCTTATTAGAAAGAATGCAGTCAAGCTTTTAATGGAATATACAAGTGAGGCACTTTTGAGGTCAAGAATAGAAAGCAAATGACACTACATACTGGCGATATTCACAAAAATCTATGTGTATCTTTAATACAAAGGTTTTTCAACTAGATTATTCTTGAAAAGTTTCAAAACTAGCAACTTATGCAATTTAAGGAGCTTTCAGGAACAATGGCTAACATCAGTGTATCAAAGCATATGAAAGTTTTATAACCACCTGGCTGCTAGGCAAACAGTACCTTAATACCTTAAAGCCCTTTTTTTGTTGTTGTTGGGGTTGTTTTTTTTTTTTTTTTTGGTTTATATAAATCACCTCAGGTTGTGATTTCTTAATGTTTTGACTCACTGCAAAACAGTGAGTCAACAATAGTACCTTATGGTACTATTATTATCATGGTTCATAGACCAATTTTTTTTAAGTGCAACAATGTAAGTTTCTAGTGTGCTTTCCCTTCTACTTAGAAATATGACCCTGGAGTTCAAATTAAGAATGAGAATATTTAGTGAAGAATCTGTTTTCTAGGTAACTAAAGTTTTCCAAGTTTTATGTAGAAAAATGTTACACTTACTTAATGCATCTTTGGGCTAAAATTAAAAACCCAATCTCACCCACATATTCCAAAAAGTAATCACAAAGCCTAAAGTAAATTTCAACAAAGGAAACATCCTTTAAATTGCCCATCTGGAGGAAAGTACATGTTTCCTGTACTTTGAAGACTTATATGGATATTAGAAAACATCTCTGTGGCATTCAATTAAGGGGGTGGGGTGGTGAGTAAAAGAAAAGAAAAAGCAAGACTTACCCAAGATATCAGATGGCACTATACACATGAATTGAAAGTGCGTTTGTATTACTTCAAAAGTTCTTTTTAGGCACTGCTGAATAACCAATGAAAATAGGTAGTTTCAAGTTTTCCCCTTTACATTTTAACCCCTGTCCCAACATCATCCCAGAGACATACACACACTCTCTGAAGTTGTCATGATCAAATATAGGTGATGTTTATTTATTTTTTTAAAAAGACTCCCTGGCTAGTAATGGGAGGAAAATTAGAATACCATTTTGGTAATGGCTTTTGCAGGTTAAAAGAATTAGTTTTATAAATGCTTCGGCACATCCATTAAGTTTGATTGCCAGTTCCAAAGATCAATAAATACTTTAAGACAGGATATATAAGAAAAAAGTGCTTAAAATCTTTCAGAGACCAAAAGACACATTAGAGAAAAGGTTTGTTTTACAGTTCCTTTGAGATATTTCTTACTCTTGCTTTCTCTGTTTGGAGGTGGCCACTACTTAAATAGCCCTTTTTATTGGTAGTAGTGATGAACCCTGTCAGATCCTGATGCCACCTCATGTCTCTGGTCTATAAATCATCCAGTAGGTGGTGCTGAAGTTCCATACCTCATATTTGTTCAGAAATCAAATGATTCCCCTGTCAAGGCAGGAGAAAAATCATTTAAGAACTATCAGTTCTGAACACAACAAGCCATCAGACCAAAGTCTTTCTTGTTATGCCATCTAGATGATTTCATTTTCAATATTTACTATTACTTAAACTGGTTTAGCCATTTGCTTATACTACCAGATTAAAGGCAAAGAGAAAGGTTTCAGAGGAAAAGTCAGTTGGCAGTGCCAAGTCTGTATGCAGGAGAAAATGCTCCTGAACATACCTATACACGTTTTAAGAATGAGAAATTTAAACTATCCTTTTTTTCCCCACAGAACTCTAATTTACTCAAGAGAACATTTCCACAGAGGGATTCAGACAACATTATATTATCAGGTAGTATTCTAGACTGGTTTGGAATCTGAGTGTGTTAACTATAAAGATCCAAGATGAAATAAAAACCATTTCATCACCATAGTTTTTAATGAAGAAACTTGTTTAAAATTGTAAAGGAAAAAAATGGGAATGGGATGGCAAAATCTTAGCAGCAAAGTGGTTAAACAAATTGAAAATATTAATGCACAAACATTAAAATATTAAAGCATATATGTTGCATATAAAATACAGTACAGAACCAGGAGTTGCACTATACTGATTAGTGCTTAACAGAAGAAATGATTAAATTTGTTCTTCCCAGAAGTATATACACAGTTCATTTCCACAGCATTTTCCTATAGGGCCAGCAAGTTATTTTCTTCAGTTATTCACACCTTGCTCAAACCTGAATTATGAACTCAGCACTTACAAATATGAAAATTCATTCACAAGGAAAACCAATATTTCCATTTTACCAATAAAAAGTAATTTTGAAAGTTAACAGTCTATTCTAGGAAACCAAGTTTAGCTGAAAACTTCAGGGATGAAGATCATCTGGTGTAGCAGTGTTCAATTATATAAACAGTAAAAATAAGTCTTAAAACTGCTGCTACAGTGTCATATTTTGGATTTAGTTCATCCAATTGATTTTTAGTACAAAACTAGAAATAACCTCTTCTTCATAACATCTATAGTTATCAATATATTTTTCTTCTTTTCAATGTGAAATAATACTTCAAGATGATCTATATACACAATGTTGTCAGTTCAAGCTGTCATATAAATATAAATGCTTTCTTAAAAAAAGTATTTTACAGACAGATAGTGTTATATACATTGTTCAGTTTGATCTGGGGCAAAAGAAGAAAGCTAACACAAGCTTAAGTGTGATATGTAAAAAGAACAATACATAAATGACATTTTAAAACCTGCATAGAAATGAGCTTCAAATGGTAGTGTGATTTTAATTTTATCACTTCTGAAACTTCAAGCCATTAAAAAAAAAGGCACACTTCTCAACTTTATCCCTCTAAGGGAATGTTCTTAAAGAACCCTTTACTTGTTAGAGTTTTAATGTAACACTTAGACAAAAAAAAAACAAAAACAAAAACCAACAAAAAAACAAACCAACCAGACAAATTGACCCCAACTACTTTAAACAATTTGTTGGAACATTTATCCAACTACTTTGTAAATAAAACATCCAGTAATACAATGCTCTGCAAAAGAAATAAAATTATATGTACAAGATATTTCATTCACAATGTTGGATTAAATACTTTCCTGGGATAGTTTAGTATATACTTTAACATAAAATAATTCTGCTTTTGGCAAGTTTAAATAAAATAAAATGCAACTGGGAAAAGTTATTGTTATGTGAATAATAAGCACTGAGAATTAAGCTAAAAAATTAACACAGCTGAACATATTCTAGTTTAGCAGAATGATAAATGGAGATCTCAGGAGGAAACTTTTACATGGACTATCCAGTTACACTTTTTGCCTTGTAAAACATTTGTAAATGCAATGTGATTTTTTGAAGGAGGAAACTCTGAAAGAAAACAACTTGCTGGTTGAATACCACAAAAAACAAAACAACCCCAAAACCTCACTTTTTTCTATAATGTTTACTCAGTCTCTTTTTATATAAAAATAAGTGTTACGTTCCCATCAGAACATTACACAATTACATCTGTGCTTTAAAAAAAAAAAAAATTGGTCACTCAAGGCTATTAGAATATTTTTAAAGATTTTAGATTACCAGAATGTACAGATAGAACTCAATATAAACTGTAGCCAAAGGGAAATGAAGATGAAAATATCAAATCATTCACATGGAATAAAAACATTATTAACTAGATGAGTAAAATATTCAAAATATAATGGAATGTGACAGTAGATATATGTACATCTACTTCAGAACTAGGAAGGGGAAGAAAAGTTTAATATGTGATAATTCGTACCTTATATTTAGTTAAATATAAACATTTGTTATTTATACATAAAACCGCTTTCAAAAAACAACTAATAAATGATTTAGTTGCACTTATTTTACTTCTTACAATTCCCAAGTGTTAACTTTTCTTAGATTGAAAACAACCGTCCCCTAGTGCACTTTTAGTTTATGTCTTAATGAATTCAAACCTTTAAAAGTCCCATCACCTAATGCATAAATATACAAAAATGCCAAAAATTAATCCCTTTTAAGTTGGATATTTTATGCTCACTTTGTATAGCCAATAACCAGAAATGGTTTCCTTTTGCAAATACGCTTTACAACCTGTAACAAAACATGCCATGCTCTGAAGGGAGAAAGTTAGGCATGGCTAGCGTTTGTGAAATGCCAAGAACTAACGAGTTCTGCTTCCTCCACGTGTGGCCCCAATGATACCAGGCAAGATTTCCTATTGCTTGCCAAAAGCTTCCACAAATCCAAGTCAGCTAATTCCTGGAAACAAAGATTTTAAGCTCATTTTGGCACGGGATCCTTTCACCCAGCAGCTTTATGCTTCCCACCACAGCACCCACACGCCTCGCCACAACGATGGCACATTCTCAAAGGGACATAGCAGCACATACATGGTACGATGAAGGACAAAGCTACTAGGGCTAACCATCGCAAGCAGAACTTGTCATCACTAGTGTCACATGAACAGGGATCAGAGAAATCTCCCTCTGAGTCTGACATACAATGATATAACATGCTCTCTGCACAGAGCATGCAACTAACTTGATATATGCATCTTTTAATAGGGTCTGGAGCATCCTGACATTTTCCCCTGCCGTTTTCTTCATGATTAAACCTTTCCTGGCAGTATACGCAGCGGGAACGTTCACCATCTTCTTTTCTTCGTTTTGACTTCTTAAATTTTAATGAGGAAGGCTGTGTCTTAAATACCACAGAGTCTTTGAGTGAACTTAACTTAGTTTCATCCCCACAAGAGTATAGATAGTCTGATTTTTTACTGTCTGGTTTAGAAAATTGAATACTGGAATCAGTATCATCTCTCTCTAAGTCATTTTTCCACATGTCAGGATGTCTGTAGTCTGCATAACGACGTATTAAGATATCTCGAGGGTTTATTCTGACAATCTCATCTTCATCTTGAAAGCTGACATGTCGGATTGATTTCAAAGGGACCTAAAAAGGAGAGAGATGAAAACGGCGATAAGAACGGTGAAGGTTAATTTTATATGTCAATTTGGCTGGGCTGCAGTGCCCAAATATTTGATGAAACATTATTCTGGATGTTCAAGTGAAGATGGTTGCTTGGATGAGATCAATCTTTAAGTTGGTGGATTATGAATGAAGTAGATTATCTTCCACAACATAGACAGACTTCATCAATTAGTTGAAGGCCTTAACAGTATAAATGTTGACCAGCCCAAGCAAGACAGAATTCTGCTAGCAGACTGCTTTTGGATGGAATTGCAACTCTTCCCCGGGTCTCAAGCCTGTTAGCCTACCTGCATATTTTGCATATGTACCTTTCTTATTCCATGAACCAATTCCTTAAAATAAATCTCTCTCTGTGTATATATACATAACTAGTTGGTTCTGTTTCTCAGGAGAACCCTGACTCATACAGATTCTAATACCAAGAATTGGAGTGTTGCTGTTAACAAGTACGTAAAAACGTGGAAACGCCTTTGGAAATGGGTAGAAGTTAAAAGAGTTTTGAGGTTCATGTTACAAAAAGCCTTGAAGAGACTATTGTTAGAAATATGGACATTAAATGTGCTTCTGGTGAAGGCTCAGATGGAAATGAAGAACATGTTGGAAACTGGAGGGAAGGTGATACTTGTTTTAAATTGGTAAAGAATGTGGATGAACTGTATGTTAGCGTCTTATGGAAGATAGAACCTGTGACTGATGGACTTGGATATTTGGCAGAGATTCTAAGCAAAGTGTTGAAGGTGCTCAGTTTCTCCTTATGGCTAACACTAAAATGTGAGAGGAAAGGGATAAACTTAAGTAGAAATTTTTAAGCAAAAAGGAAGGAGATCTTGAAGAATTGGAAAATTCTTTGCCTATGGGTAGTGCAAAAATCGAGAAAGCATGTTCTAGAGAGAATACCAAAGGTGTGGCTAACCAATCATATAATAAAGAGATTATGGTGTGATTCCTGAATCCAATCAACTATCTCAGCTACAAAGCTGCTACAAAGGACTACAGGAAACAGAGGTAGCATGAAACGAAGAAAAGCTTTTTTGGACTTCTAGGATTTACAGGACTGGCAAATAGAGCTTTCTGACTGAAAATATGTGTTATCCTTTAAGAAAAGGAAAGAATGATCCCAAGGGTGAGGCTCTCTCCTCAGTTTCAGTGGGCCAGAAAACCTGGAACCTTGGGTATGAGGCTATCACCCACTACTGCTAAGGATTTGGGGTCACCACTCTGCTGGGCCCATAGGACAAAATACTGAGCCAGAGCCAAAGAGGATTATTCCCAAGCCTTAAAATCTCACAGAACTTGCCCTGCTAGGTTTTAGACTTGCTTAGGACTCATGACTGCTTTCTTCTTTCTAAGATTTCTCCCTTTTCAAAAGGGAGTATCTATTCTATGCCTTTCCCATCCTGGTATTTTGGAAGCAGGTAATTTGTCTTGCTTTACAGGTTCCCAGGTGGAGAGGAATTTTGCCTTAGGATGAAACACACCCTGCATCTCACCCACACTCAACTTAGAGGGTACTTAGAAAAGATGCAGGACTTAGAATTGATGCTAGAATGGGTTAAAACTTTTGGGTTGTTGTGATGAGATGAATGTGAAGAACCAGAGGGCGGAATGTTATGGGCTGAACTGTGTACTCCCAAATTCATATGTTGAGACCAATACTTCAGAATGTGACAACATTTGGATATAAGGCCTTTAAAAGGTGATTACATTAAGATAAGGTCCTTACGATGGGTCTCAATACAATCTGGTATCCTTTTAAGAAAAGGAAATTTGGGGGGGCCTGCGTGGCTCAGTCGGTTAAGTCTCCGACTCTTGATTTCAGCTCAGTTATGATCTTGGGGTCGTGGGATTTCTGTGCTCAGCCAAGAGTCTGCTGGAGATTCTTTCCCTCTTCCTTTGCCCCTCCCCCTGCTCACATGTGTTCTCTCTCTCTCTTTCTCTCTCTTAAATAAATAAATCTTTAAAAAAAAAAAGGGAAAGAAAGAAAAGGAAAGGAAATTTGGACATACAGAGAGGCACCAGAAATGTGGGTGTACAAAAGGAAGACCATATGAGGACATGGCCAAAAAGTAGACATTTACAAGCCAGGAAGAGAAGCTTCAGAAGAAACCAAATGTGCCAACATCTTGATTTTAGACTTCCAGTTTCCAGAACTGTGAGAAAATAATTTTTTTTGTTCAAGCCACTCCATCTGATACTTTGTTATGATAGCCCTAGCAAACCAATACACAGACACACATGTATATAGCTTGGCTATATAGTCTCTGAAAATGACTTAAAACACACTACACCTGCTTGTTCTCATTCCCTCTCCTTCCTCCTTCTCCCACACGCTTTCTGGGTATATTGTCTTCCTGAGGCCCAGGAGCAAATTATATCTTTTTGGGGATAAATCAAATGGGGTCTAAATCAAAATGACCTTTCCCTTTACCTATATAAGCGGGCTTCTTGTAGTCACATTTGTATCTCCCAGTCCTAGTCCCTGGACACAGTGACTGGTCTACAGGAAAGCATCTGATCCAGGTTGAGGCAAACTTCCATTCTCAAGATATTATGGAACTGGGGCTAAAAAAAAACCTCCAGATCTGGGCTAAAGGTGGAATGATGGATACAGTCTATTAAATTACCAGTATATAATTCCTATTGGCTTTATTCGGTGATAAATACACAGTGGCAATCCCCAGACTCAAACCAGAAACTTGGATGGAATTTAATAATGTTTATAATTATATATGTAGCAAAGGTACATATGAAAAAAAAATTTCTAGTATAATTCAGCTACATGGAGACTAAAAAATTTCACTTATATTTTAATTAGTTATAGTCTATATCAGAAGATAAAACTAAGGGGTGCCTGGGTGGCTCAGTCATTAAGCGTCTGCCTTAGGCTCAGGTCATGAGCCCAGGGTCCTGGGATCGAGTCCTGCATCAGGCTCCCTGCTAGGCGGAGAGTCTGCTTCTCCCTCTCCCTCTGCCCCTGCCTGTGCTCTCTCTCTCAAATAAAATCTTAAAAAAAATAAAAATAAAAACACTAAAAACAAAACAACAACAACAAAAAAAGAAGATAACTAAGATCACTTACCCTATTTTGGGATTTTAGGTTTCCACATTCCTTGGATATTTGTCGTTGTACATATTCTATACTTCTGCTCTGACTGTCTAGGCCCGGATGACTGAACGTTATCTAAAATATAAACAATTTCTACTTAAGTGACAAGAGAATGTATTTATTTTTAATAAAATTATATGCAGTGTGTATTCCAAAACTTCATAGCCTGTTAGTAGTGAAGCCTTTCAAAATAGTTTTAATAAAAAGCATTATTTGAATTATCCTATTATTTAAACTTAGGCGATTCCTTACACATTTAAATTTTTAACTTCGAAAGTAACACGAACTTCTGGTTTCTGATTCTGCATGTAAGGAACTTAGTAATTGCCACTCTGTCCTAACAAGTAAAAAACCTAAATAGAAAAAATATGACCAACTCTTCTCAGATCCGTAAGAGAGAGGAGGACACAGTGCAAACCCCTGCCTCCAAGATTGGAGACAGACAGGAAAATAAAGGGAGTCACAGCCCACTAGAGCAGATTCATGAGGGGAAATTCCCATAGAAACCAGTGCTGAGGTAGGAAAACCTGAACTATAATTGATGAGTTGCCAGAGCTCAGTGTATATACTGAGTTAAAAACTCTAAGTGGACCCAGTCATAGTGAAGCTCCCAAATTTTTGTTGTGTTTACCTCCACCAGGAGCTCAACCAAGTTCTTGCAGTAAGTATCAGAAAAATCCTTGCATGCTTCCAGAAGGGGGATGGGAAAAGGAACCATTTTTTAACTATGCCAGAATACTCTGGTTTTTGGTTTGTTTTTTTTTAAAAAGGTCTGCCCTCAGGAGGAAACTAGTGAACCAGAGCCTGACCTAGGATATTATTAGAGCCTACCTGACCTAGGAGAAGACAAAGAGCCAACTCTAGTCAACTCTAACCAGCTGACCCAACTAAAAAGTTAGAAAAAACTGCGAAATACTTGTGGAGTTAACAGTCCAGAAGCACAGGCTCATTCTAAAAGACTGAGACCTAATCATAGGACTACAGAATGCTTCCCCACCCCACCACACCTCACCACCACATACTAAAGGCCTATTTCTAGCAGTTCCTTTTACCCAGTACATCATGTGTAGCTATTAAGGAAAAAAAAAAAAAACTGTAAAATATACTGAAAGGCAAAAACGCAATTTGAAAAGATAGAACAAGCATCAGAACCACATATAGCAGGGATGTTGGAATTAGCAGACTAGGAATTTAAAACAACTATGATTAATATGCTAAAAGCTCTAATGGATAGACAGCATGCAAGAACAAATGAGCAATACAAGGAAAGAGATAGAAATTCTACTAAGGAACCAAAAGAAATGCTAGAGTTCACAAACATTAAGAGAAATGAAGAGTGCCTTTGCTGAACTTATTAGACTGGACATGACTGAGGAAAAAAATCTCTGAGCTATTTAAAATAGTAATGACTGAGAATTTACCTAAATTAATGCCAGACACCAAACCACAGACCCAGGAAACTCAAAGAACACCAAGCAGGATAAATGCCAAAAAACATACTACACCTAAGAATATTTTCAAACTATAAAAACTCAAAGATAAAGAAAAAATCCTGAAAAATGAACAACAAAAAAATTCTTTACTTATACAAGAGCAAAGAATTACATCTGACTTCTCCTCAGAAACCATGTAAGAAAGAAGAGAGTGGAGTAAAATATTTAAAGTGTTGAAAGAAAAAATCTGTCAACCTACAATTCTGTACCTTGTCAAAAAGCAAACAAACTTCAAAAAAGATATAAAGACTTTCTCAGGCAAATAAAAACTGAAGAAATTTGTTGCCAGTAGACCTGCCTTATAAGAAATGTTATGAGATTCTTTAGAGAGAAGGAAAATAATACAGATCAGAAACTCAGATTTACATAAGAGTAAAGGAGCACTGAGGAAAGAATAAAATAATTTTTCACAATAAAATACAATTTTAATTTTTCTTATTCTTAATTGAGCTAACAGAGAATAGCTTATTCAAAAATAGTAACAATGTATTCATTCATGTATGATTATATATATACATATATACTCACATATATAAAGTGAAATAAATGACAGTAATGATATAAGAGATGGGAAGGAGGAGTTAGGATTATTTTGTTATTATCAGGTAATCCCAATACCTGTAAAGTGATTTAGTGTTCTTTGAAAATGGACACAGATGCAAACCACAGGGCGACCATAAAAAAAGGTAAAAACAAACAAATATAACTTATATGCTAAAAAGGAGAGAAAATAAAACATATAAAATGTTGAACGAAACCACAAAAAACAGAAAGTGAAAGACAAAAAGAAACAGAGAGCAAGGGCAACAAATTGAAAACTGTAAAAAAAATGATAGATATTAATCCTACTGTATTGATAATCACTTTGAATGTTAATGCCCTAAAGGTACCAATTAAAAAATACAGACTGCCAGAATGAATAAAAAAGTTAAGACCCAATTACAAGAAACGTACTATAAGTATAAAGACACATATAGAGTAAAAGTAAACGGAGAGAGAATAATACACTATGCTAATACTAATCAAAAGAAAGCAAATTTAATTCATTTCAGACAAGGCAGACTTCAAAGCAAAGAAAGTTATTGGTCATAAAGAGGGGCATTAAGGAGCAGCTGGGTGGCTCAGTCGGTTAAGCATCTGCGTTTTGGTTCAGGTCATGATCCTGGGGTCCTGGGATCAAACCCCACATCAAGCAGGGAGCCTGCTTCTCCATCTCCCTTTGCCTCTCCTCCTGCTTGTGCGTCCTCTCTCTCTCTAAGGAATAAATTAAATCTTAAAAAAAATAAAGAGGGCATTACATAATGTTATGAGATTAATTTTCTAAGACCTGCAATCCTTAATGTGTAGTGCTTAAGAACAGAGCATTAAATTACACAAGGCAAAACTTGATAGAAATGCAAGGAGAAAGAGATGTACCTATTACCACAGCTGGAGACTTCAACACCCTTCAATCAGAAATGGACAGATCCAACAGGCAGAAAATCATTAGGAACCTAGCTGAACTCAACACCATCAATCAAGTGAATATAACTGACATCTACAGACTACTGAACAATAGCAGAATACATATTTTCTCAAGCTAACATGAACATTAACCAAGACATTTATGGCCCACATTCTGGGCCATAAAACAGATTTTATTTTATTTTATTTATTTATTTTTAAGATTTTATTTATTTGACAGAGAGAGA